ACAGTTTTTAAAATGGAGTCTCAAACTTTTTTGTACTTATACTAATTCTGACCGGCTCTTTCATTTTTGGTATTTATGAAGTGCTATATAATTTCAAATTAACTTACAAAGCGCGTGCATATTAATTAAAGTCAATCTTTGTTAATTCTGACTCCAATGCTAGTTGTATGATGTACGTACACTCGATCAGCAGGCATGATGAGACATCTAATGCATGTGGTCGTACTTAATATTAGACTATAGAACTGTGACATGGTACAGCCTAGCTGTCCAGATACTGTTATTAAATGACTAAAGTGATTAGACGTTAAAAGGTAAATTTGATTACTAATTTCCCCCTGCAAGCTAGGGTAGCGAACCATTACAGAAAGCGTGGTGTGGACTTGATCCAATTCCCTGACTCCAGTCCAATCTAGCTATTGACTCGACTCGACTTAAGCCAGTGACTTGACTTGATTCGAGTGAAGCCGCTGACTCGACTCGAGAGTCGAGACGCTGACTCGACTCGAGTGAAGCCGCTGATTCGACTCGAGTGAAGCCGCTGACTCGACTCGATCAGAAACATTTGACTCGACTCGACCTGTAGGTGACGCGTTACAACACCGAGATATATAGTATATGGAATTTGCAATTAGTTATGTATGAAAATTGGATTTCCAACTATTTTCAACTAAGTTCCATACTATTTCCATAGTAAGGATTTTGAAAATAATTTCCAGTGATATAAGCAAAACTATGAATGAACTTCATGCAGACATCATTTTCTCTTTCTCTCGTCATTTTAGCGTTTTTTACAGACAAAGCATACTTTTAAAATTTTTTGCCGATTGAGAATGTATGAACAATCATTGATGTAGTCATACATAACAAGGACCAAGGTCCAAGTGCATGGCATACTATATATAGCTCGTATATTCCTGTGCTCGCATGTTATCAAAATATCTTCTCTTACTGTATATGCATAAACATTCACACAACAACATCCAGTTTCAAACATGTATGCTCTTCATGGAAAAGGCCTGCTCTGTCTCTGGGGTCTTATATCTCCTTAACTCGCCTTATATAACCTGTCCTAAATGCCCAACCTCGCAACAAAAAATTGGCCGAGATTTATTTAAACTCGCCGCGAGATAATGTGAGGTTAGGCGAGTTGCCAACCTAGAACCAAGGAGCCCTCATGGAAACAATCTGTATTGTTGATGCAGATGGGGGTGTTTTCTTGTTAGAATGATCTAAATATCACACCAATATATTTGGGCTTAGGAAAGCTTAGGAAAGCTTCAGACCTGTTCATATGAGCCGGCTGGCCCGATAAACCGGACTAGCTCGCCGAGTTTGCCGGGCCAGGTTGTTATTTTTTTTTCTGTTATTTTTTTTCTGATAACTCAGTTATCTACGTATATAACATCACAAGCATCAAGTTGTTATTTGTTATATACAGTTAGTGTCAAACTTCAATTTTTCTGTTTGCCGATTGGTCAAAACCGTCACGTGCCGGTCCATAAAACGTCATGTTCAGCAACCGGTCCGCAATCAAACATTTATTGACCGGTCAATAATAAAATGGGTGCAATACGCATGCGTGTCAACCATGAAGTTCCAAAGTTCATTTTTTAAACTTTTTATTAAACATTTACGGCGTTCCATTTATCCAGTTTTGGTTTCAATTTATAAAGTTCACTCCAATAACCGGTGAATTATTCAAACTTTGACACTTTTACATATATTATATAACAAAACACTTATTTACTGAGACCTCGGGAAAGCAGTGCATTTTGTGGCCCCTCGACTGCCGTTGTTGTCCTCGGCTTCGCCTCGGGCAACAACGGCGGTCTCGGGTCCACAAAACACACTGTTTCCCTCGGTCTCAGTAAATAAGTGATAATTGTTTCACATGAGGCGGGTTAGCCCGGCAAGCGCTGTATAGAAACTCCCGCCCGGAACGTGAGTTTGTTTTTATTTTGCAAAATGCTATTTCTATTGATGAAAACTGCTTCAAAAGTTTTAACTTTGTTGATTCCCTAATTTTTTTTTTAATTTTTAGATGCTTTCTAGGTGGAATAAAGCATACGTTGTGACACAATTTCCGCTAAGCCCCGCGGGAAGGCGAGACCTCACCTCGCTCAAGCGGGCCCGGTTCCCATGTCAATCAAATCTCGAACTGAAACACATAAAAACAATATATACTAGGCGAGATGGCACTTGCGAGTCAGCCCGGCTCATATGAAAAGGCCCTTTATAACTTTAACACAACGGCACATATAATAATAAGCAAACATATATCATTCGCCTGAATGTAATTTTAATTTTTCCAATTGACTTAGAATGTATTAAGAATAAATAATTAGTTTTGATAACATCAATTAATTATATTAATTTATCATATACAATTCATAAATTTTCACGATTAATAAGATGGCAATAGTTATATTACTATCTAAAACACTTTCTATTTCCAATAAATATGTCAAATTCCTCAAAATAAATATTGTCCAATATAAATTTATGTCCGTTATAGCCGTTAATACAGTGCATGTTCTTAGTTAAATTTATCCATCAACTCTTCGTCGTCTTGACGCAAGTAATTCGGTACCATTTTCGAGAAGAAATAGAAAGCATCATTCTCAAGCTCGCGGCCAGATTTTGTCAATCCGCATTTTTTGTGACAGTCCTTTGTGTAAAAATATTTCATATAGTTCGTATTATTTAGATGTACAAAGCAAGGTTGCTTGTTCTTCCACGCTGGACAACCTTTGCAGTATGTGTTACATACGATTTGCGCTTTTTGACAGCAAATTCCGCACGGTGGCCAATAAGGGCTCTTGTATTTACATCGATCCTGTATGTTGATCTGGGCTGCTAATGACGAGCAAATCACCATGGAAACCAGTAGGAGTATGGCGATGTTTACAAATCCTCCAACAGTTGACATTATGAACTATAGAAATGTGAATAATAATAGCAAGCATTTGATAAACCGGTTATACGCGGATTACTCACTGGTGTCCAGTAATGGGGTGTCCCCCCCCCCCACGCCCTTTAGCACCGCCCCTGTCAATGGATCATAAATGTTATATTCTTAGGCATAATGGCCGAAAAATCAAGAAATTTGTAATATGGCGAAAAATTTTAACCCTTACAAAAATTCTGGAAGTTAGCACGGAAAAAATGTTTTGATTGGTCGGGCAACTTGCAGTAAGGTCGAGCAAGTTTTTGTCCGCCTTATAGGTATATTTTTACAATAGTTCTAACATAGGTTTCAGGAGATTTTCAAATTAGATCTCTCCTCATTATAGATGCTCTGGCTTCAAAATGAATTGAAAAGGTTGTTCTTTCCAGTTCAAGTTTTGAGTTCAGATCAGTGATGACATTCAATATATAGTTCATAATTTCCAGTCTCCAATCCGTCCTGACCGTGTGGTTCAGGTGGTAAAGCATCGATATAGTGACTCGAAGGTCGCGGTTCGAAACCAAAGTTTTCTGCTTGCGCGCTGTCTAGAAATTATGATATATGCCTCACTCGAAAACATTAGTTCTCCTTATCACTACTTAGTGAACAATAACACAGAATAATAAATATATACATATACACACACATATACACACACATACACATATACATATAATATCATATAATATAATACGTCGGAAAATTTCTTTCTTTATGTTTCTTTGTGCTATATTATAAAACAAATTTCAAAAACTCAATAATTCATGAAGCAATTATCCAATCTTGAGTAAGAAATTAGTCACGTGCATACGTCTTTATACCAGCTAAAGAACACTTTAACAAAAGACCATTGTTATGCAAACTATATAAAGATTTTTATATAAAGGTTTTTATATAAAGGTTTTTATATAAAGATTTGACTTATTATGCAAACGTTTTTGAAGCCATTTAAAAAACTCGCAGGTCGTGTTTAAACCTAACAAAACACTCCTGCTCGTTTTTTAAATAGTACATAAAACATTTTTTCCGTATTGATATATAGTTATATCAACACTCGTGGAAATTTGGAAAACTCGAAATTGTGTGAAAACATTCCGCCCTTCGGGCGTCGTGTTTCTACACAATTTCTCGTTTTCCCAATTTCCACTCGTGTTGACACTATGAACTGTATATCAACACGGAAATGTTTTATATTTGTTAAATATAATATAATATATAATATAATATAATATAATATAATATAATATAATATAATATAATATAATATATATATTATATTATATAATACCTTATTGAATTCTGATCGTTTAATTGGCTGTTTATGGTCACGTGATATTGAATAGAAAATTCCATTTCCCAAGAGTGCAATGGAATACGTTCCATTGCACTCTCCATTGCAATGGAACAGTAAACCTTTTAATATTAATCTATTCTGATATTATATAAAACAAATAATGAATGTTTTTATTCGTGCAATGGTAAGAATATTTTCATTCGGTGGAAAAAGATGGAATGTTCCATTCAACTCGGCTGTCGCCTCGTTGAATGGAACATTTCATCTTTCACCTCATGAAAATGTTCTTACCACTGTACTCATAAACATTCATTATTTGTATAATATAATATAATATAATATAATATAATATAATATAATATAATATAATATAATATAATATAATATAATATAATATAATATAATATAATATAATATAATATAATATAATATAGAGTAACATACCTTTGGGTTTTGTGAGCTTTCAGAATAAAGGTTTTTCTGTTGTGTATGAGCACCTCGAAAGCAATGCCCAACCATACTGAGGTTGGAGATTTTATAGTTAGGCAAGCAGTGTTGAAACGGAACTGAAACACATGCCCGCCCCAGTAATTTTATCAAAAAGCAAACTCTTAACCCCGTAAATGCATGCTCTCAAGCACTCTTTGGTAGATGTAGACGATTACTCCAAAAAGGGTTTCATTTTCATTCTTATGATGTTTTATATTTAATTTATTTTAACTTTTTATTGGTTTGCGTTTATTTTTATTGAAATATTTTGAATGAAAACGATAGGCCACCATACATTTGACATTTTTTTCTGCCAAACAAAGGCAGCACGTTTGTCATAAAAAGGCCACTTTAATCTTTACAGAATAAGATTTTGCAGAAAGGAGACTTATATTCCCTTTCTTGTTGTTCATGTGCCTCAGGCAGTATATGCATGTAACAATATAGTGGGCATTACTAAATTAAAGTCACTACTAAATTAGGACGATTATCTATATATGTTCAAAAATCAATTGTCTTTATATATATAGCTTGCTGTTGTGGGCTAAAAGGTGAAAGATGTGTCAGTGACACTGTAGCTATGCAGTGTAAGCGTCTGTATAGCAAACTGACTAGAAATTAAATTGCATAAAGAATTCGTTTGTATGTTTCTCAATATGAGAAGATTGCATCTAAGGCCAAATAAAAAAATACTTGGTTAGCGTCACTGGCACTCTCACATATTTTCAGAGGCGGGAGGGCGGTGACGCTAACCACGTTTTTTTTTTATTTGGCCTAATTGTCATGTTTTTTTTAAATGTCTTGGCTAAGGTCATTATCATAGAGTACTTACATACAGGTCACACTTCAAGTTAATCAGTTTAGTGTAAAGGATTTTTTGTGTCCGCGTTAGAAATGCGGAAAAAGTTACGAGAGAACGACCAATGAAACCGCATAAAAAAATAAATTGTATATATGTGAATCGTTTTAGTTCCAAATACCCTTCGAAGTGGTCGTAGAATTAAGCTCCAAATCGCAGGCTTAAAAATTCGAGTTAATATGGTAATTGTAATGTATACTATGTTAATTTAATTTTCATTCAATTTCAACGACGAACTCGGTTGAGATACGAGGTTCGGAGGTTGTTTTTAATTGAACAATAGACCATTTCCGAATTGCGCTGTAATTGTCAAGAACAATAACACCATGTCGAAGCCCTTTGCTAATTTGTTATAGAAACATTACATAGAGGATATTACACGGCGGCGCGAAGATGACTTTTATCTTCGAGTGGTGAAAACAATATTTTACGAACGAGCGCAGCGAGTGAGTAAAATATTGTTTCTAACACGAGAAGATAAAAGTCATATCTTCAAGCCACCGTGTAATGTTCTGTTTATTATATAGTCCCAAGCAAAAAATTGTGAAATTTCACGCTCAAAAGCAAACTGGAAAAAGTCACGTTATCGATATCTTCACTAGTGAAGATATGGAAAATATCTCACTGTGTATTTTTCAGTATCTCACTCTCTACTATATAATAAAATTTAGTACGAAGCCTCACGACATTCGACATTCGGTCTAGTCCCAATCTCCCACGTTTGTTCCTATAACTGTATAGATACATGCAAAATGTTTTGTATTTCTTAACTATTTTGATTTTTGGGTGCAATTTTTGGTCTCAAAATAATTTTTTTGTATAGTACCATAGGTTCGAAATTATTGCACGCCAATTGGCAAAAACACTTATATATATTAACGTGTAGTTTATAATATATAAATAATGTTAAATAAAGAGATTCGGAAACATTTTCAGCAATTAGATAAATTTTTAAATAAGAAAATTCAACTTTCAATGAGTCAACAGTTCTTATAATATGTGAATGTTTAGTACACCTTTGATATTACAGATATATTTACAAATATATCTTATATACATGAATTTTCTTGTCGAAACTTAAATCATTATTACAAATTTTTTTTTTGTTAAAAACACGTGTCTCTACTAGAACTGCATAATTAATGCAAGTACTTCAAGTTATATAAGTGGCGTGTTTTACGTTTGAATTATGTTTTAAGATGTTGCGACGCCTCAAATACTTATGCTATCAGTTCGTATCTTATAATACACATCTAACACTAAAACAGCCGTTGAAATGACGACAACAAAAGCTATAGTGATAGCCATATGGATTTGATAAATGGCTATTAATAAACATCTTTATCGGAGACTGCATGCAGGGGCGCAGGAAGCATCAAAAGATGGGGGGGGGGGGGCTTCGAGGGCACTTTTGGATAATAAAAAAGGCACCTAAAAACATTTTCCCGGAAATGTTGGCGACGGGGGAGGGAAAATTTTCCAATCATTTCATGTTTCATTCTTAATAGAACACATTTGCCCTAATTTCGAATTGCAACGTACAATCAACGTTTTTTACCAAATTGTTTTTGAAAACATCGAAATTTCCTATACATTTCTTTAATTGCATTTACCTCTTACATGACGCAGATTAGTATTTACAACATAACTAGCTTGTGTAAAGTGCCTACGTAAATGTGTTCAGGAAACAAAAAGGGCAAGTTCAGTGTTAGTATAGTATTTACAGCAACATTCGCTTGTACAAAGAGGGGCACTTTTCATCACAAAAAAGGGTACTTTTTGTCATTTGAAAAATTGGGGGGGTGCCCCCCCCGGTTCCTACGCCCCTGACTGCATAGTTTACCTCCTCCAGCGAATAGTAATTAAGTTATGCATCATGCAAAATTATACATTGGGCTTAGTATAGACAGTATACGCATTCAGTTTACTCTATCCGGCAAAGCAGGACTGAACTTTTACTAATTTCTCACCCAAATTTAACAAAAATTTAATCAATTTTGTTTTTGGGCAATGTCCATTAGTCCCACAAATTTTCATATTGATACATTTGATATTTTTCAAGTCATCGTGCTGACAAACACACAAATAGCATGCTACTGACTTGGCCTGGCTGGCCACCACTATGTATAATAATAATTTATAATATAGCATTTGTAAATTCTGAACGCTGATTGGCTAAGAGCCGTGTTGATATAACTCAATGTCAACACGGAAACGTCGGAAAATTTCTTTCTTTATATTTACAATTTCTCGTTTTCCCAATTTCCACTCGTGTTGATATAACTGTATATCAACACGGAAAATCTTTTATATTTGTTAAATATCGCATTATATACGAGCCTTTCACTTCAACCTAGTCCCCAGGTTTTCACTTTGGCAACTCGGGACAGATTCCTGGAATACGTACATGCGTACAAGAGATTTCAAACACTAAAACTGCTTTTCTTTGTTAAAAAGAAGTGCGCAATAAAAATTTAAAGCTCATCATCGTTAACCTTAGTTTGCCTACGCAAATACTCAAGCCAGTACTCATGCCAACGCTAACCAAAAGCTCACGTCAAAGGACACGAATGTGGTCAGAGAAGCTTCTACACTGAGACATCACAACATTTACGTATAAAGTATATGCATCATGTTTTCAAACTCGTCTCTTAAATTTGCGAATAACAATTCTGGGGACTGGGGGCATAGCTCCCCCAGGTGAAAAATTGAATTTTGGGTCTCTGAAACTGCATTTTCTGCATTGTTTTGCAAAAAAAAAATTGGAGAAAATTTTAAAGGTCTTAATAAATCACCTTTCAACAGCGTCAAATATTGATTTCAGAACACAATTTAATTCAGGGCTTTACACAAGTAGATTCGTGCAAACGCAAAACTTTCTGCTGACAATTTGCCACCCGAGAGAATACTTAAACTATTATAACCTGATGTTTGTGATATTACTCTGAGTGTGTACCCACACCGGGCAAGCTTGAAAACTATGCCTGGCCATAGTGGGAATCGAACCTACGACCTTTGGAATACTAGCCCAATGCTCTGCCAACTGAGCTACGCGGTCAGGTCGGTTCGAGTATGTGATATTTCAGAACTGAGTCTAGTTCCATCGATATCAATGTAATCTAATAATCATGAACTGCTGTGCTGGTGTTGTGTACTCAGGTGAATATGATGTTTGTGATGTTACTCTGAGTGTGTATCCACATCGAGCAAGCTTGAAAAATATGGCTAGTATTCCAAAGGTCGTAGGTTCGATTTCCACCGTGGCCAGGCATATTTTTCAAGCTTGCCCGGTGTGGATACACACTCAGAGTAACATCACATTCGCCTGAGTACACAACACCAACACAGCAATTCATATTATAACCTAGCCGTTGAGAAAGATCGTGACTCTATTTTTACGATCATATGGAAACCATGCAGGCTTAATTAATTTACCACAGCCTCGTACCATGCAATAGCTTCATGTTAGATGGAGGTATTTGTTTAGAATTCTTTACCAAAGGAAATTATGGACAGTAAATCTCTTGCTTGTTTTGAGAAACGAATGCACATAATTTAATTTTAAAAGTGGGGAAAGAGGTTAAATTGAGGGAATACAGTAAATAAGGTCATTAACGATCATATTATTTTCACGCCAAACTATTAATACATTTCATTTAAATTACTTCAAATCCGATCTTAATGTGGATGTGTTATAAATATTACAATACGTATGAATTTACATTATTTTCCGTAACTTGTGTTAAGATCAACATACGTATACATTTGCGAATTGATAATAACTCGCAATATGGATTATGGAGTAGAATTTGTGAAGTGAACAGGGTCATGAGTAACTGATCCTCGCACCTCTACTACAATACAAGATCAATACACAATGATTTTTTTATTAATATACACTGGAATCTTCTAATCGCAAAAAACACATTTACAGTCAAAATACAAGAACCTTGCCACTTCCGCAATCTGTTGTAATTTTCTGTAAATTGTTCTGTTTTTCTGTAGCGGTTACCGAATTATGAACAAATATGACGACAAAATTTAGTGGTTTTTTTTGGTGTTTTGTATGATAATTTTAGCAAAGGCTGCATTTTTTGTTAGAAAAGGTGCTGAATTTGAATTTTATCACAGTATTTGTCTATAAATCGGTAACCGTTACAGTAACACAGAACAAATTACAGAAAATGTCAACAGACTACATGCAGAAGCAGAAATGGGAAGGTTCTTGTATTTTGACTCTAATAAGCCGCGTCGGGCTAAACTGCAGTTGAATCATAACATGTATAGCTGAGACTGGAAGTATTAAAATATGCATACGTCAAAATATTCAGCTGTTCAATAATTATTTGTCTTTCACTTCTAACCATAATAGAATTGTCCAACAAATATTTTTGTATTTCCTAGCAATATATTTATTTAAAACGAATTAAACGTGCTGAAACTAATAGTTCTTTGATTGAACTGTTGAATACTTTTATATTCTAATACTCAGCTACATGTTATATACCGGGTTGCGCAAAAAATGTTCCACCCTCTTTGACTTATTGTAATTAAAAAAACTAAAGAAGCTATCTTATTCAAATAAAGTTTATTGTCGTGAACGCAGTAATGTCTAACTTAAATTTTGATATATGCCTTAAACATTTCTATAGATTCTAAACATTTCTATACATTCGCTTCTTCCAAGGCAGCATTTTTGGAAGAAGCGAAAAATGGCCATTTTATTACCATAATGCAAATTAATAGACAATTGTTGACCATATTTGAATAAGATAGCTTCTTTAGTTTTTTAATTACAATAAGTCAGAGAGGGGGATTGCGCGCAACAGCAGCGAAGTTATTTTAGCAAAATTTCCTAACTCTTCAGGTACTCAACAATCGTTTTAAAATTCCGCCCTAATAACCTTAACTCCTTGATAAGGATTTCACTTATATTTTTTCCAGTGGATATCGAGTAAGACTCATATTGTTTAAATAATATTTTCCATTTTTGTTAAAACTTTATCGTATACTAATTATATCATGTAAGGATTGCATAATTATAATACAGCTCGTTTACTTTTTTCGTTCCCGTAAATTATAACCATTTTAGTATTATTATTATTAGTATTACATAAGGTACCTTGGGAAAATACAGTCGGCCTGGGATTAATTTACAGTGTGGTTTATAATGCATTGTGAAACAATGGATAATATGCACAACGATTGGCAAAAGTTTGCAATTCTATTAATAGCTCACAATCTCGTTCCAGGTTTTTTTCGCGCGGTTTTGGTAAGAAAATTTCCGAATTGTGTTGAAAAGGCCACCAAAATACCGTTTGATTCAAACCATTTTTACCACGGTTAACCTCGTTCTCCAGGCTACTACATAACGACGCATTTAGTCCAGTGTTTCTTCGTTTCGCGCCTACGTTTTCGCTTATACGGAGACAATGCAGCCGCGATCGCTTCGTCAAAAACTTTCTTGACGTTCTTTAAAGTCAGTGCCGATGTTTCCACATAGCATACAGCACCACTCTTTTTTGCTAATGTCTCTGCCCTGTCCTTGCTAATGGGACCGCCAAGGCGATTGTTTTTGAGTGAAATAAGTGCTTCAACGTTAGATCGCAGGTCACAATGTGTGCCGACCACTACGATAGGTGTGGTCGGTTTGTATTTGTCTATTTCCGGTAACCAACGTTGTTTGAGGTTGAGAAATGACGAAGGTGCCATTATGTTGAAACATAATACAAAAACATCTGTCTGTGGGTAGGAAAAAGGTCGCAGAGAATCAAAATCTTCCTGTAGAAGAAAAAGAGAAATAGATTATTGGGATTTAGTATTTTTGCACAAGTACATATAACAAATCCTACAAGTTGATTGGTCAAATTTGACGTATTAAGCTGTTATATTTACTTAAAATACTCATAAAAAATTCATAAACCTTGTGGCAAATCATGTCAGCCACAATATGTCACGTGAAGTGACTTTATATCTGATAAAACTCATCTTCATTAGTATTCTTTATATAATTGTTCATCCTAATTAGTATATGATTATATAATTGTTCATCCTAATTAGTATTCTCTTGTAGTCGTATTTTAAGCAATTCAAAACACTCGTTGTCGTGTTTTATCAGATATAAAACGCTCGGTTGCGCCTCGCGTTTTATATCAAACGAAATTTGCGAAATGGCGGCTAGCCGCTTTGTGAAAGTTACTGATAAAGAAATCAGCGAAATTAAAATAAATTCAGTCCCAAAAAACACAAGACTTGTGTAAAAATACTAAAACAATTATTCGCCTCAGGCTCGGTGATTATCGGGAATATTCACCTCGACATCGTCTCGGTGAATATTCCCCGACAATCACCTCGCCTTCGGCGAATAATTGTTAAATATAATGTGTTGTCTGTCGTTACCCAATGGCAATGGCAAGGAATACTTTTGAGAACCGAAACTTGTGCATCAATCCTTAGAGGTGTCAGCAAAAAGTCCTATACTCAAGCCAATTGAGAACGTGTGCATGATGATCACATGATCAGAAGCAGGAAAACAAAGGAAACCCTCAAGCAAGGACTTTTGCTGAACTATAGGTTGTTGTTCGGATGGTAAAACTTCCCAGAAAAATTGCTAAGATCTTGGTTTATTCCGTGGCCAAACAAGCAAAGAAGGTCCGAAAAGTACAGGGATTTGCAACAATGTATTGACAGATATCCTAAACATTGTTTTAATTAATGAATATTATCCGATACATTTTGTTTAAATTAAGATAGCTTAAATGAAATCGTGCCAACCAGTTTCATAGTTGAACATGCAACAACTTTAATATTGGAAAAGTCTGTACGGAGTTTTGCAAAATATTGAACCTTTTTGGTTTGTATTCAAACTTTTGGAAAGTAACTGTACGTGTTATCAATTGACCATAAGAAAGTGGGGGGGAAAACAGACACTGTACTCTGTAGTTATGTCGATATATATCATTGGAATTTGTAACCATGAGAAAACATTCAATTTTTTGTTTTTGTTTATATACTTGAAAATAAGTGTTAAAAATTTTGGTATTTTATTAGCATTTTCTGCATCTTAGCAAACATTTGTAAGATATATCAGTCTTAAACATTCAAACAATGCAAGTGCATGAGGCGTTTGTATATCTTTGAATATATTCTTTGCTCCATGCTGCTTCTGGAGTTAGATATAGAGAATTCATAAATGCATGGTAAAAGTTTTGCTTCTAACTTTAACAATACGGTGCATGTATACAGACTTTAATATTTTGCATGTATATTCTGACTTCAGTTTTACAAACACCAGACAATATTACTTGACAAAGTAAGATCTACCAGAAATGCCTGCCAAAATTATTTAAAACCAAGTGAAGCGTGCTTTGTGTGTGAGCTAGTTTTTCGAGAAAAACATCTGTCGGATATATCTTCACTTGCCAAAACAAACTGGACTCACCCGGAAAGATCTTGTGGCGGAAGAATAAAAGCATGCATGTGTTCTGACGTTAAGAGGTATCGATTACTAATCTTCCTGTTCGGAAAAAACTCAAGGTGGCCAAAAAGTGTATAAAAAAATAAAAACATTTTGCAAAAGTCAAAACAAATGTCACCTCAAATTTAAGGTACGTTTACACATAACAATTAATCGGGCTGATTCAGCTTTAATTAAATGATATTTGAGTAATATTATTCCGCAGGTTCGATTTCTGCTACAGCCGGAGGGCCTACAATGGACCATTTGCATTATAGACTAAATTTTGATCTTAACAAAAATTTCATCACAGCTTGAAAGAGCATCACAAAATTAGTAATGTTCCAAAGTTTCGTTGCGAAATGTTGTAAAATGCGGATAATATAGCCTTGCGAAATTTGCAATTTTCAGTCATTTTGTATCACAAACGGGAAATTGATGCCCCAACACCAGATTGAGCTGTCAATTTCCCGTGCATTACACAAAATGACTGAAAAACGGCAAACTTCGCATGGCTATATTATCCGCATTTTACAACATTTCGGAACGAAACTTTGGAATATTACTAATTTTGTGATGCTCTTTCAAGCTGTGATGAAATTTTTGTCTAGATCAAAATTTAGTCTATAATGCAAATGGTCCATTGCATTTTCGCAGCTGTTCCTGGTTAGGCTAAAATGTATAACATTTACACTCGAAATTTCAAGCATATGCAAAAACACTTCAACGACTGTAGTTCTATGGAGTGAAATGCCCAAAATTCCTGATATTCTAGGTATACGATATAGGTATGTATTGTACAACAATTTGTCTACGATTGTTGCCTTTCGTTTCTTCCTCGAGCAGCACTTAAAAGTTTTGAAGCCATGAATGAAATTCCGTTCCATATTCAGTAAAATTTTCCTGGGGGTATACCAGAAATCACTTCAGACTGGTAGACTCACTATTGGTTAAGGCTGGTTTACATTATCAAAGTTTCTGTGATTAGTACAGTATAGGAATTTCGCATAGTTTTGACGGATTTCTAAGAAATTTCAAATCTTACAAATCCGCAGAAACTTTGATGGTGATCCTTTATGCAAGGTTCCGTGATAAAAATTTTCATAAAATTAGGTATGTCTTAACTCTTAAGTGCAAAGTGTCTGCATTTATTAACTACCAAATATGTATTCATGTATGTAATATGTACACGTGCTTGCAATTTCATTTTAGGTCAATGCCAAGTGACGTAGTTAAATATTTCACTGTGTTTATACAGACAAACATGCAATTAGGCTTATCAGATATATTAAAAGCATTAAGCATATTTCGCTATATCGATTGAAAGGTGCATTCATGCACTTCAGACATTGAAAACAGAATAAAGCTTTTCGGATCCAAATTTCAATTTTTCAACGTTTCTCAAAAGCATTAATGGAAACTTACGATAGATGGTATATACTTGTCAGACGGCATTTATGTTCCATATTGCGTGTAAGACAGTCAACAGTTTTGATCCATTTTAAGTGCACGAAATATTTAAGTCCTCGCAGTCGCGTTTACGTCGATATCGACGCGAAATGGATGGATGAGACTCAGAGTGCGTGTACGAGAGTAACAGTCAGCCGCGCGACCTTGGTTAGCTGTTCTCATGCATGTATTTTATTTAATCTAGAGCTTCAAATGTCCCCTGCATGTATAACAATACGTGACTGCCAAGTGCCAACTTTCATGAACTCTCATCTTCGTTTGACACGGACTTTAATAAAATGGATAAAAGACATAAAACTCGCACGTAAAAACGCGCAAGTTGTTACAGATCCGCAAAGATGTTGTAACAAGGTTGCCGTCAAGTCGTTGTTGTCATCAACGTGTTAACAACTTAATACAATATCAGACTTGCTGGAATAACTTGTTCTGGAGACTGTTGGACTCATGACTTGCCAAGTATTGCCAACTGTGAATAAGCGGTGTTGACAAGCTGTGAGATTTTCACTCGTGCAGATTCCGGTTCACGAGTCCTCGTCTTTTTCTTTTCCGGATCATATAACAGCAACGCATTTCGTGTGATTAGTAATCGCAAAGCATGACAGCTAATTACGAAAACAAGTCATTAGCACGATATTAAAAAATTTAACACGTTTCCTGCTAAACTTGAGTTACGCGCGCGTCTCATATGCCAAACTATAGCTCATATCGTAAAACAAACGCATAAATGTAAAATTTTTTAATGTTTTGATATTTCCTACGTGTAGGTAAGCATGCAACAATTACCCACGCTTGAGAAATATGTCGTCTGCGAAATATCTGGAAGGCATCCTGTCTTGTCAGGTTCGAAAGCAAAACAAACTTGCCTTGACAGCGGAACTTGAATTTATATATTTGCTGAAAGGGTCTTGTTTGAAATATAATATGGACAAAACGAACTTGTTAAAACTGTCTTACTTTTCGTTTTATGTTGTAAAATTTACTATAGGTATAAATATTTATGTATATATAATTATAAACGTAAAAAAGGTATTTACGGTATAAATAGGAACAATTAGTGCAAACAATATTCAGACAGTATATATATATATATATATATATATATATATATATATATATATATATATATATATATATATATATATATATATATATATATATATATATATATATATATATATATATATATGTATGTATGTATATATATATATATATATATATATATATATATATATATATATATATATATATATATATATATATATATATATATATATATATATATATATATTGCGTTGTTGCCGTTGCCGTTGGTTCAATTTAAGTAAAACTTACTATGAGTATTCGGTTATGCATGTAAATATAATTATATAACGTGTATAGGTGTATTTTTATGACGCATGAAGATGCAATTATTTTCCAAAAATACAATACACAAACAGGATCGTGGGTGAAATATAGTATCTTGAATAAAGGAAACTTTATTAATGATGTTTAAACCTTATATCAGCAAAATTTATAGCATGGTTATATTGTGGGTATATATAAACTTATATTAAGATAGGTGGTAAAAATATTATCTTGTATAAACATTCTAAAGACGAATAATTTATTCGAAGACGAAAATATTATAGGCGCATCCTAATAAGGAAGACACTCCAAAAATATTATGTATCATTGTGGGAAGACCACACTTGCTTAAGTTCAGTTTATATTTCAATTCTATAAACATGTACTATTTCGATATATGCCGTGAAAATTCAATACCTTATGTTACATAATAAACCCCTACAGGGAAAATATTTTCTCGGGCACTCGATAAATAACTTATCTAACAAGTCGACCACAAAATTGAAAGTCATCGAGAAGGTTAACGAGGACTATCAATGTTTATTACCCAGTTCCGCATTATGGCGCATAAGTTATTCCGTATATTTCATAGAGAATGGGGTTATAATTTGTTATTTTACCTACGAAGTGGGGTTATATTTTGTTATTATACATACCTGCCCGGCTGTATCACAAAACTGTACAGTACATGGAACATTATTTACCGATACAGACACTACAAACAAAACGAAAGGCGAAACACGGTTAGATTAAGTCCATAGAATTCGCATCCGCATCATAGGCCGGAGTAAAGCTAAGTTTAAATTCAATAGAATAAGATTCAGTTTCAGTTCTAAGCTGTTTCAATTAAAGCTATCCAGACTCACCAGTGTAATTGTCGAATGCGGTAGGCGCATATTCATTCGGAAAATCGTTTGTGAGGTAACTCAGCAAAAGCGTTGTTTTCCCAACAGCCCCGTCGCCAAGCACAACAATTTTTATATTCTTCTTATTCTCCATACCATAGTTTGTAACACAGTTTCTGGCTTATGACCTTCGTGCTTTGTTTGGGTTGAGCTGAGCAGGGTCGAACGGAAGGCGGTGTTGTGCCACAGTCGCTGCGTGTTTGCTCACCGGCTCTGCCATTACATCAATACCGGAAATGGCGTAGGCAAGGTGGATTGTGATTGGTTGATAATAACATCCTCCATTGTGTGGGGGCCTTCGTGATTTGAGGTGTTAATTTGACCAAAACAAATAGTTTATGGAAGCAGAATATAAACTATTACTTTCATAAATTAACCGCCTTAGTAAAACAAACAATGAACTGAAAGAGCTTTACAGCAAGCCTAAAAATGAATGTGAAAGCTTGTGACAGTTATATTCAGACATATTATATTCTAGGCGGAAAACAGAATTTATATTTTGACAGAACAATACTTTCGTCGGAATATTTAATATGATAGGGAACTTTTTCTTCATGCTGTATGGGATGTATTAAAGTTTACAAAAAGTTTTCGTATTATAAGTTCCTTGTGCAAAGTTTGTTTAAGTTCGAATTTTAGTTTAATTTAAAACCAACAGTTATTCGAATATGCTGTAATTATGTAACACAATGTGAAACTGAAAGCACTATGGCTATGCACCTTTTTTGGAAAGTCGAAATCCTGAAAAAAGGGGGTAGATTACGTAACACGTGACGGTCTTTGGAAGAGGTTGAGACAATACATTTTAACACAAACACCGGACGATTATTTGGAAACCGGACACAAATTCGTCCGGTTTCCATGTTCCCACGGGAATTGTCAAATCTGTCGAGGACAGCTACGAGGATAGCTCAGTCGGTAGAGCAGTCATCTGGAGGTCGAGAGGTCCCAGATTCGATTCCTCACCGACTCAGCGTAAGAGTAGCATAGTTCAGATAAAACTGGACTGTGCGTTAAGTTACTGGGAGCTGACGGCAAGCAGGTGTGGCGCTCGCCTCACCAAAACATCTCCCTATACTCTATAGGCATAGCGCAAGCTGAAAGGGGATGCATGGATTCCCTTACTCGACTGGTGCCGACATTTAGATTTTTTCTTCGACGTTATTAAACCGCTAACCGCAAACCGCGGTTTGCTGTCTGCCATCTGTAGTTTGTCGTTTAACATATATTTTGGATTTAGTTTTCACGCTTCGTAACTTTTTAAACATATACTTTCAGGTATATAGAAGCAATGGCCGATGGCGATGTATTTTTCAGTTCTCAAATAATTCTACAGGGTCTTTACGGTTTTCAAAGATATTCGGATACATCTAGCTGTTAAAATACCATGTCTGCGCGGTATAACACACAAAACATAAATAATGTAAAAATATGGCGGCCATGTTGAATACACGAAGCACAAGTAGCACTTGAATTTCGGCGTATCAAAGCCGCATGGAACACTTACAGTAATAATCCTCAAATATAACTTATATTTAACGATTGGAGATATACCAAATAAACTAAACCATAAAAAGTGAGATAATTCGCTCTCAAAGAAATAAAAGCTTTCGGAAAATGACTTACGGGAAAAATTGCCTCAGTCGTCAAAAACGTGTAACTGCAACGGCAAACGCATCACGTGGTTCCCTGCGGTTTGACGTTCGAGCGAAAAAAACTAAAATCTAAATGTCTCTAGGCGTCTTTGACCTACTTAAGGCCCATTTCCACCCAAGACAAATTTCCACGGACAGAAAATTTTCAAAAAATATCATTGTTTATTTTAAAGTTGAAAATTTTCAACTTTAAAATTTTTTCCGACGTTAAATTTGTGTCAGCCCATCACATTTTACAAAATTTTCTTTCTGCGGAAAATTTTGCTGAGTGGAAATGGGCCTTTACTCACTAATCTCGAATGAAATGGATATAGGAAACAGTTGACACCTGCAGACGTGACCTATTTGACTGAATTCAGTCGAGATGTCACGAATATAACGGATATAGCATAAAGTTTTATACCGCCCTTTTCTACCATTTTCATATTCATTTTTCGCATTCAAGTATAGCTCATTGTTGAGATTCAAAAGGGTTTTTCATTGTCTTTTAAACCTGCCTGTGTCACGGCAAAGTATTTGAGGTATAGCCAAATGTACTTTCGTAATCCAGAATTTCACCGCCTAAATATGCTTATAGAATATAGTGATATATGTGCTTATAGTGATTCATGTTCCCTGAAAACAACCAACAATATTTTGATATTACATCGTAGATAGCTATAAGTAAGAGTGACATGGTTCTGTTTTTACGTTTTCACGACTTCAGATGTATTATTGCTAAACGTGGAATTATTTTGGTTTTAGTGATCATGCGTGTGATCATGAGTTTCCTATCCAGTGTTTTTATGATCCATAAGAAAGCTGTGCATATGGATAGGGATACACCTATACCTGAAGCTGTAAGGCCCTTCGCCGTCAGGGAATTAGTATAAGACGAAGGTATAGCCTGCTCGCAGACGCTTGCTTGTATATAATTAAGTATATGCCACTTGTAAGCTTACAAGTGTCACATATATAATATGCAAGCAAGCTACTAGACACGCAAGCTGCTATACTAGACAAAGGGTCTTCGCTCGAAACGTCGAAGTTCTCCTTGTATTTTTCAGGTAGTTGCATCCCTATCAATTCGCAGCTTTCTTATTATTGCCATTACCGAAACTGCCACAGACTGCTCAAAAATTTTGTGACTCATGCCCATGGCACCATGCATAGACGAAAAGAACGACATGATCAAAATACTGTGTGAAATGCATGCATAATTTATGCTTTTTATTCGCGAATACTCTTCACTCTTGACTTTCTATTTGCAAAATTGGGAAAATTCGTAATTTGCATATAAGGTCTACGAGGTTAAATAAATGCTTTAACTAACTAACGAGAGATCAAAAACGCGTTCAAATTTAAAAACAAACCCAACTCGACCCTAGGTTATACCAAACAACCAGGCTAATACACGTGACTCAAAACTGATACAGAAATTTAATATCACATTCAATATCTGCCTGTTAAAACGTGCATGATGTTCTTCGTTTTCCCTGACGGCCTGACGTGCGTCATTAAAATGGTTTAAAGCTAATGACAGCTTTCTAAGTTTGATATTATCACAGGTTTTTGATATCTTTCATGCTAAACACCAATATTTATCAAATTATTGATCTTTGAATCACATTCATTGTTCAGGTCTGTTTCAGCATGTTTCAAGCTCGTGGTCAGATTATCTCAGATTATCTCAGCTCAGAGTGGTCGAAAACGCGTATCATGTCGTCAAATCAACATTTACTGCACAATGACGAAACAAGTCTATGCATATATTCCTAAAGTTTAAAAGGGGATTTTTAAATTATGTATTCCTAGAAATCTAATTGTTTTACCAGAAATGTATATAAAACCCGCATGGAATAGACTATATAGCTTCCTCAGCAAGCAATGGCATAAATTATGTATTCCTAGAAATCTAATTGTTTTACCAGAAATGTATATAAAACCCGCGAGCAGAATTTGGTTGCGGACAAAAAATACAAATTAGATGCCTTCGGAGAGGCCCTAAATATGGACCGGATTAATAAGAGATGGTCCAGGGGCCTTCTATGCAGGGAGAACAGATTATATAACAGCAGAGCTACCCAGTCTAAATATAAGCTTATAGAAATATAGTTTAACGCGATTTCCTCCTGCTATTACGGTGGAGACAGTGTACAACTCCAAAAATATCCGTACACTTCCTCAGAAAAAAATCTTCCAAAATACCCCCAAATTTGTCAAAACATTTCCATAATTAAATCCCTACAATTTCCATAAAATTAATCCTGAGCAGAACTAACGATAGAATAATCTACTATATAGGTTTAGTTTTCAATTTAGCTTGAGAAGTGATAGAAAATATAGTTCTTGGCAATCACTAGCTATTTTTCTTTTCTTTTTTGTTGAATTATAAACATTGTAAGTTAAACGATGGCGAGAGCAGATTAACAATATATGTATATACTATATAGCAATAAATATGTATATACTATATAGCAATAAATATGTATATATACGAAACTGTATAGTAATAAATATGCCAAACAAAGCTTGCTATATATATGTGTGCCCCCAACCTCGCTTTAAGCTAGCGAAACTAATTAGGGTTCTAGATTAGACATGCTTCATTTGCTGAATACAACCGAGTGTTTTCAATATATACAACTAAATATTTGATTTGTGTTTCAAAACTACCTGGCAAAAATATATCACATTACTTTATCCCATTGAAATGCTTAATTATCCCTACTATAATAGGGTACTTTATGCCCCTAATATATAATAGCTCTGGCAAGTGATATTCCTGGAAGTAAGGAAGTAATATGTCGTCCAGACTAAACTTCTTGCAACAAAGTATTACAGGAAGATGCGGTTATATCGTATATACAGGAAAAATTTCCCCTAAATTTAATACCAGTTCACATGCGGTTAAGACTTAAATACTTGGGAACCAATTTAATTTGTGCCGACAATGAAAGCAGTGGAATGGCACGGAAGGCTCTAGAAATCAAACCAGACCAACACGTTGCTATATATTGAATGCTTATATTTAATCTTATGAATATGGAGATCAGCGGAACTGCCAGCTGTAGCGTATTTGGTTTGGGAGGGAGAACTTGAGACAATGGAAAGATAGATAGGTATAGATAGATGTTTCAATAATGTGCAGGGGCGTACCTTGCAGGGGAGAGGGGAGAGGTTTGTCCCTCCACTTTTAACTAAGATTGTCGGTAAAGTCGGAAAATGGAACACTGATTGGTAAAATAAGAGAGTTGGATTTTACAAATAGTACTTTACAATATAGAATTTAATCAAATTGAATCACATTGTACCTGTTGCCCGAGAATACTGAAAATTCAACTTTAAATTTTCCGACTTATTTAGACATCGGAGCCGGAAAGAGGAGAGAAGTGGAGCAACGCCCATTTCGTCGCCCCCACACGCACGCACTTGAAATGGCCAAGGAACGCCACTGATAATGGCCAAGGAACGCCACTGATAATGGCCTTACTGATAATAACAGTATATGTATAAGTATAACACCGAATTGCTAAGGGAATACACAATTCTAGTAAAATAATAATAACAAAGCCTGCCTGTGACACACATTCGCATAATGTATAACAATTACCACCGAAGCTTTTCTAGGCCGAAACAAATACTTATTGGAATATTGCGCACGTTCTTCAACTAATCAACTATATGGCATTGGAATATGTATAGAATAAAACTCCGGTTTTGAGTCCAGTCCATAGGCTATGCCTAGCATGTAGGTTGCTTAAACGCACTCACGGAAAGTTTAACTCTTCTCAAAAGCGTCTTTTATAATCCTCACACTTCAGTTTGAGCACATGCGATTAAGCAATGACGTCAAGAGGCCGTGATTAAATGATTTCGTAAGGACGTTGAATGAAAGCCAATATTATGTTGTGCTTATATACGTTCGTGATCTGTTAGCCTATAGCCTATAATCATGCAGTATATAAAATAGAAAACAACGGTAACTTTGAATATGATACGATGCAATGGTAACTCCGAAAACGGTAAACATTTTAAAAAGTGTTTATTCGACGTTTCGACTAAATTTTAGTCTTCATCAGGAAGATAGGACGACTATTAAAATCTAGTCGAAATTAACGTTGAATAAACGCTTTTCAAAATATGTTTGTGATGTTACTCTGAGTGCATATCCACACCGGGCGAGCTTGAAAAATATGCCCGGCCACGGTGGGATTCGAACCTACGACCTTTGGAATACTAGCCCAATGCTCTTCCAACTGAGCTACGCGGTCAGGACGGTTCGACCGGTGTGGATATGCACTCAGAGTAACATCACAAACATATTATTCACCTGAGTACACAACACCAGCTTTTCAAAATGTTTATCGGTTCGGCGGTTTCTGAGTTAACTGTTGTATTGCATTTAATTAAATACTTAGTGGTTTCCGCAATTTCTGAATTTAAACATTTCAATATTTTCTAAATTTTCTAGCTTTTAGTCAACGTTAGGAATGATGCTAAAGTAACAAGGTAGTCCAATAAAGTTACAAAAAGTCAAAAACAGATTGTAAAATCATACTGAATAGGCTACGTGTCAAAAGAAATTTTATTTAAATAAAAGATTAAAGGAAACAAACTCCGAATCCATCTTGAAAGTTTATATTTAAAAGAGCAAGAGGACACAATATTCAACAGTGTCAGTGATATTTTGAATTCATCATAAATATAATTAATAATGCAAATTAATATGGGAAATTATTCATCATAATTCCATTCGAAGTTTGTCTCGTACTTTATTTCATGACTTAGTTATTGACTGCCAACAGATATTAAAGTAATTTGCCATTTGATTTTTTGTAAATTCACAACTCAACAAATTAATAAAATTCAACCACAATAGTCAATACAAATTTTTCGGCTGAAATTTTTAAATTAATAATTTGAATAATACTGTAAATCATGCCATTTCATTTTCTATTCTTTTGACTATATTATTAAGTATAACCTGATGCTGCCTAAATTGGAACAATTACATTCCTACATTGGTCAAATATACCTTTTTATACTGTGAAAAATCACATTGTATGTTTTTCTACTGGATAACAATATCCGCCGATTTGCTTTACTTTTAAAACGGCTGTGTAAAAATCACAAATTATTTGATGTAGTGCACAATAAAATGACGTGTCGAAACATGGGTACACGAAATGAGGTAAAGACATACATGCAAAGCCAAAAGAATTACGTCAGTGTAACAGTTTACTGCGTGCACACATCATCAATCGTTGCTTAATGATTCCTGCATCCACAGTTACATCGTAACTAATGATTCCTTTTCGGCAAAAATGGGAAGTTTTTACAGCGTGAGAAAATTTTGTTGACTTGCAACTCAAGACAAAATAAGGAAACAAATGCTTCTATGTAACCAGTGAGCTCTATAAATATCTGGAGCAAGAACTTCAGTCATTTGGCCTATGTCTATGAGAAAAGTGAAGCCAAGATGGCGGCCATTGAGTCATTGACGTCCAATAGGCAATAGCTATGAACGTTGTAAACAGTTTTAATACCATTTCCCCCAGCTAATTCCAGTTTTTTTCTAACGGACCGTATCGTTAATCAAGTTTTCAGTTCATAAAATCACATTATTAGTCTTTAAATCACAGTAAAATACGAAATTTCGGCACACTCCTTGCCAAGACAGCGGATATTGAAGGGCTACAGGACGTCAGCCCCAGTCCCCTTCTATCGCCTTTGTCTGCGCGGTTAACACAAAGCTCGCTTCACTCATTTACAGATAAAATTCCTTTGATCTATATTCACATTTATTAGTCCATGGATCCTTTGGAATTATGAACCAATAGTAGTATTCTTTTAGAAAATAGAGAAATTAATTGGTGTTCCAATTTGTTTGTATTATTGGTCCACAATATCACACAATACTACCAAAACATTTCTCCCAAACTTTTGTTTTGGACTTTTGGGCGTTAACTTGTCCCATTTGTCCAAAACAATCGTCCAAACAATTTATTTCTTCATATTATGAAGAAGTAAATATTGCAGCGTTTCTATTCAAAAACCAGTGCAGTTTATAATAACAGTATTTTAACTAGAAAATACTATTAAAATTTTTAATGCTTTGGGAGTAATAAAGCATAATTGAGATCTGGTTTATCATCTGCTTTTTGATTAAGCAAACTCACATTCAAAACAATTATACGAAAAAATCCCTATAAAAATTTCTAAGGCTATAATAAGTTTCCTAAGGAATTCCAACAGGAAATTTCCTGTTTCTATTAGATCCTATATAGGAATCAGTGGGGAAAAATCTAATAGGAATTCCTATGGGATTTTTTCACACTAATTTCTTTCGTTACTTAGCTCGCTTTTCTGAACTGTTACTCAGATTTTAATTCTGAACTGTTACTCAGATTTTGATAAATATATAATTCCCCAAAACAGTACTCTCACAGACATATATTTGTCTGTTTTATGTAAATTTGAAATGAGATTCAGAAATATTGCATCCCACAGTCTGTGATCAATGGATATTTTTAGTAATTAAGAGGTAATCAAATCTCTATTGATACTTAACACAACTGATGCAATGATTTCAATGGTTCATTATATGAACCAGAATTTATTTTAAACAGCCCTAACATTGGTTCTACTAGACCAGTTTTACTAATCTTAGTGCCAAAATTCATCTCTTAGATTTTCAACTTTGAATGCCCACCAATAATTACCTATGTAAAAATCTGGAACACAGCTGCTGCAATTTTTTGGAAACCCTGTCTTACAATTTTATATTTAATATCTACATTTTTTAATTATAATTTCTCCTGGTCAAAACGATAGGTCTTCAAATTATGTCATATTGCTAGTTGGGTTGGAAAATTAGTGCCATCAAATTCAGAATTTACAACTGCCAACTCATCTTCATCAAGAAGACACTCAACCTCCTGTGTAGTTTTTGCCTGTTTGGGAAATATATGGTTATACAGTACAACACAACAACACCTTGGCTGAGCAATATCATCATTCCAGTTAAGATCATTGTGTGTCTGGTGTGGAGATTCAGTTGGCCAATTGTCTGTTGTTTCATCATTCATCATATTACTCATCTGACTTTCTCTTGCTTCAGTCAAGGCAGAAACAATGTTCTTGCTTGTTATATTTGATGGATTCTTAATCCGTTCTAGCTTTTGTTCTGTAATTTTGTTCAGAATGCTGTTAATATTGAGCTTAAGCAAGCAATCTTTTTGTCAAAATTTTCTTCTACAGGAATTTATAAAATACTATTGATTTTCACTTACTTTTCAGGCCATGCAAATTAGTATTGTTACCACAATCGAAGTTTCTTTGATAAACATATGAATTGGTATTTGGATTATACTGCCTTGTGACAAGGTTTTAATAGTTTGGCAATATTTTTTCAATTAGTCACCCAACCTATAAAGTTTTGTTCTGCTCAGTTCACCAAGAAAAGCAAACAGTTACAGAGCAAAAACTTGGTCCTGTTCTTTTTACAATTTGTATAAACAAAATGTTTGCCAAACTTCTCTCTTTATATCCAAAGTTACTTTAATAAATGTATGTTATGACAAGTTGCAAAAATGTGGATGTCATTATGATTATGACTATATGACATGAAACATTTGGTGTAATTTTGCATTTGATCATATTAAATCAATTTTTGTATTGTATCAAAGGTAAATTTTGTTTTAGCTATACATTTTCCGAATTTTTGGTTGAATTTTCAGCCAAAATGTGTCCAATTTGACGCAATAATGAAAAAAACTGCGTCAACTTTTGAAAACTTAGGTCACTGTTAGGTGACCCTAAACTGATACCTTATTAATTCTATAGCCCATAGGCCTCACTGTCTGAAACATTTTATGTTTTATTTTTTATCAAAGATTCAATGTGTCTGACTTTTTGATGAAATAAAATGAAGTATACTGCATGCAATATTCATTTACTCTACACTCCGTAAACAAATGTCCGCAATATTCTACAGTACTGTACAACAGAAATACTACAGGGGCACACATTCTTTTAAAAATATTTTAATACCTAAACGATCTATGTATTTTTCTGAGTTCATATTATCTCCCTGACTGGGTGGCTGTGGCAGTAGTGGTACCTCGCATTCTTCTTCAAAAGAAACCCACTCACTTCTGCCGGCATTATTATTATGCGCCGACATTTCAACCTTTTCCTTTCCGTCAACTACTTCGTCTTCTGTTGACTCTGCCGCCATATTGAATACGAGCCGGCTGATAACTCCTGCCAGCGTATTTCCTAGGGAACGTCATGAAATGCGAGTAATAAAGGTTTATATATCTGAGATTTTTACCAAAATTTGGGGATGAACTTTACACAAATATCTTTACCCATTAAAATAAAAAATATCTGGTTAAAATCTGAAAATTCAAGATGAAATTAAAACAACTCGAAGGACTTCTGCAAAATTTGGACGTGTTTGAGAAACCCAAGGTCCATTTGGAACAGTACCCAACAACACCTCATATAGCTTCACACATGTTATATACTATTGACCAAACATTTGAAGACATTAGAGGAAATATTGTTGCTGACCTTGGCTGTGGTTGCGGTGTCCTAAGTGTCGGTGCTGCAATTCTTGGCAGCGATTATGTTGTAGGTTTTGACATTGATGCAGATGCCTTAGAACTAGCGAAACAAAATTTGGAAGAAAGTGAGGTTGAACAAGTAGAATTAATTCAATGTGATGTTGCCAATATAGATTCCATGATGGTGAGGAGTGATTTGTTTGATACAGTCATCATGAACCCACCATTTGGTACCAAAAATAATGCTGGTATGTAAATGATCACCATAATTTAATCTTCTCGCAATCATTAGAGAGCTTTTATAAATACAACAAGGAGTACAAGTTTCATCATTTGCTCACTAGTCCTAATTACCATCACCACCATCATTCTGTATACAACTTTATCATCATTATAATTGCCCTATAATTTCTATTATGGAATATCCTAACCACATTCATTCTCACCATGACACCATCCTAATCACAAATATAATAATCATAATCATCACCAATATAGTCACCAATTTAATCACATATAATCATTGTCATAATTATCACTATAATCATCATAACCACCAATGTAACCATCATCATGATCATCAATATAATTATCATTATCATCAATATAATCACCAGCATAATCATCATCAAAATAACCAATGCAAATACCAATATAATCATCATCATAATAGTACAGTCATGATCACCAATGTAATCATAATCACCAATAATTATAATCATCATCACCAATATAATCATCCTAGCAACCATTTCAATTATAATCATAATTGATAACATCACAATAACCATTCTAATCAATATCATAAACTAGTTGTAATAATCATCATCATATGGTCTCACTATATTAATTATGACCAATGGAACAACCATGATCATAATCATTTACTGATCATAATCACACTAATCAGTTACATAGTTATTATCATAGTAATCACTTTTTTGATCAATTGATCATCACCAATTTCACTATCAATAATGATGACCATCATTATCATCATTACAATTACCAACATAAAAAGCTATTAAATTAAGGATTGAACAACTCTTTTCAGGTATTGATGTGATGTTTTTAGAAAAAGCTCTACGCTTGGCAAAAAGATCTGTATATTCATTGCACAAGACTTCTACTAGACGTCATATAGAAAGCAAAGCAAAACAAAACAATGCCAAAATGGAAGTTCTTGCTGAACTAAGGTTTAACTTAGACGCTTCTTACAAATTTCATCGACAAAAGTCTGTGGACATCGAGGTGGATTTGATCAGATTTGATGTCAGTGAAAAATAGCTTTGACAATGTCAGCGCCTAATATTAAATAGTTGGTTCTGAAAGTTCAAAGTTGATGTGGGTATTTTTCACGGTTATTTTTCATGTTATGACTTAAAATACCGAGGTTGGTGTCTGCACTACATCACAGAATAAAGACATACAGAAGTGTATCTTCTTATTAAAAGTGCGTAAGGGATTTTTTCAGTCCGCCATGTTCTTAGCAAGTGCCCTAAAGAGAGGCAGTCACCCCCCTGAAAACATATTGAAAATTTAATATTCCAGGGGGGTGAATGCCACTCTTTAGGGCACTTGCTAAGAACATGGCCGCCAGCTATTTCGGTAAAAAGCGCCTTACGGTTTTGTAATGGAAGTTACACTTCTGTATGTCTTTATTCTGTGACTACATGGAGTCTGGAGAGAGTTAAAAACACTTCCGTGATTCGGAAAAGGCACATTGAGTGTATGGCCTTTTAGACACGCGAGTGTTATTAAGCTCTGTTGAAAATTAACAAGATACTAAGCCCCTTTTATTTCCTTTTTACGTTCTTTACTATACACAAGGCTATATACATGACAATGGCAACACAGTGCCCGGCTTAAGAATGATTAGTGTTCTGTACACAACTAAAGACTTTAATAAACTTTGATTAAACCACCTAAGGATTATACTTCGTAAATAATCGTATTTCTGGCACCGCATCTTCGTCTCGATTTTATTGACATATCCTTACATATTTACACTTCATACATTAAAAATATGTATTCCAGTATCAAAAAATATATTCATTCTCATCGTTTTGGAATTAATATGCTCCACAAACAGCCGTTAGTCAAGTATAGGCATTGGACTGAAATGTCATTTTACACCATTTTGCTTGCTCCCTCTGAATGGCTGCCTTTCTTTCAGTGTGACTCATCGAACGTTTGGGATCATACTTTTTAGTTTCACTATTATTTCTAGTTTTTCTTTTTTTCTTACTCTGAAATTCCAAGGAACTATCCTCCCTCTTTTGTTGTAGTTTAGGCAGACGAAAATGGTCGTCTTTTGGTAGAAGTTTATCTGTATTGCCTGTGAACAACGAGCTACGTTCGTCAATTCGTGGCAGCAAGCTTAATTCTCGTGGTTTTCCCTTAAGCAATCTCCTTTCAGCATTCCCACGGCCCATTCCGATCAAACTTCGCTCAAATTCGGCCGCATCTCGTCGGAAATTATCGATATACTCCTGCGCAGGCAGTTTTGGAAGTTCAGTATTTTTCCCCGAAAATTCCAACTTTGCAGTAGTGTCCTCGACCTCTGAAGGTGTCTGGCCCGATTTTAATTTAGGTAACCTAAACTGCGTTTGAGACAAATCGTAATTCGATTCATTATTCTCTAAGCTTGGTTTCTCACTAACGCCATTGGCTGCAGTGTTTGTCGATTTTTCATTCAACATGTGGTCCCTTATAGTTGCCCAGCCTTTTGTTTTTGTCTCCAATTTCTTCTTGCTGTACTCTTTACCGATGTTAAAACCAGATTGGTATTTCCGAACGGCTTGATATTTGCCAAAACAGCCAAACGGATAAGCCAATTCTTCGGCAAACACTACAAGGGGTCCTTCGTCGCTACAGTGCTCAAATTTACTTAGCTTTATGCTTTTCGTTTGCGTTGGAAGTACGGTTTGTTTGCCTTTAGCAATTGCCAATTTGATGCGTTCCTCTCGCCTTTTTTCCTCCTTGAGAAGTCGCAAGCGAGCTGCATCCATTGGCAATGTGCACTTTTTTACCATGTCTGTGGCGTTTACTTTCTCTTTTGGGTTATCTCGACCCGTCCTATCGCTCAATTGTTATAATTATTAGCAATAATTCGGTGTTTGAACTTCCGTCTAATTACTCCAAAGTTAAATACCAATGCCACAATGGTAGTATTTAATATGCAAACTTCTGAAGATCTGATCAATTTTACTCGTCTAGATCTGTTGAATTATACTTCTTCTGTTCGGCTACTTTAAAATGTTTCTTATATTTTTAAGTTTCCCTGTACCAGTTAAACCATCTACAATAGAAGTACAAATATTAGTACATTTTCCACCAGTTAAACTATTTCATACAAAGTTTCGTAATGATGAGTAATTAATTATTCATTGTTAGAAAAAAAGATTCCGGCCTGCTAATCACTAGCAAACAAATGAGCTAAAAACTGTCATAATAAATGCGGTGATTAGCTGGAACGAGCGAGAAAAAGACAGTTTGTTTGCAGTGTTTTAAACGTTGCCAACTGATGTGTTTACTTTCCCTATGATTTACTGTTGTTTCAGTATGTTTACAGGGATCATGTGTAAATTAAACCAAGTTGTGTTCCTCTGTCTCTTGTCCGAAACGGAGCAGAACAACATTGTCTGAACGTTGTGATTATACTATGAAGGCCGTTTCTGTAGTTTTCTGTGATCACAGTAGGAATTTTGCATAGGTAAATTGTACGTTTTCAACGATTTGTAAGAATTGTTTGAGAACCGATTCGGTGTTTAACACTTCGTATAGCTGGTTGCGTATAGCTCAGTTTTCAAATGGCAATGACATTGTAAACTTATCTGGAAAACGTGCATGTATCGACTGTTCGATCGCATAATTTGCGCAAAAACAGTTATGTCTAATATTGAGCACAAACAACTTTCTGTGTAAAACCTGATCACACAGAGAAGCGATACTAAACTATTACCTTACCTTACGGACTGTAGACATTCTAGTTTGTAAATATTCGATGAACATTACTAATACGCATGCAATTGAAAGATTGTGTAGCAAGTAGATCATTAATGTATTGTGACGTCATAGTTTGTCTGCGATAGCCAAGTTTCAACATTAGTACAGAATGTACTTATTATGCCGAATAGTTTATAAACCATTTACACTGGAAACAGACAGAAACTGTAAACATTGCATATGTAGGAATGAAAAATCGAATGAAATAAAAGAATATTTCTCGAACTTCGCCCGAAAATTGTAAAATTTTATCAGGCAATTAGCCTGCGATAAGGCATGCACGTCAAACAAAATGGCGTCGTCTATTACAAAATTTTGTACAATATTTCGTGCACCAGCGCTTTCCCAAAGCTCGATTTTAGCTCCTCGCCTCGCAGCGTTGGGCAGACATGATCCTAGTTTAAAGAGGAGGAAGAAGATTGACCCGAAAAAGAAACAGAAAAAATCATCAAATATTTCAAAAAAGCCCATTGAAATTTTCCCACCTGTGGACCCAGAGGCTTTCGTCGATAGGTAAGGATAATACCAGGGACGTAGCCAGCCCCAAACAAGAGTGTGTGTGTGTGGGGGGGGCGGGGTGTTAATTGTCCAGCCGCTCTATTTTGTAGGGTCTGCAAAACGGCTATTTTCATGATATTAAATCTGAAAGCCACAGATTTGGTAATATGGTATATTTTATGTCATAGACATAGATGAAAACATTACTGTGAACGCGAAAAGAAATTTGAATTCATATGAATTGATCAACTTGAGGAAATGAACTCATGCAATATTTTATCAACACTTCCATTGCATCGACAGTAAGAGGTTACGCCCCCTCCCCAGTTTCTCCTTAGTATTGAAAGAATTACAAAATTGATCCGGAAGAAAAGTGGTAGGAGGGGTCTGGACCACCCATCCCCCCCCTTGGGTATGCTTCTGGATAGTGCCATGGAGGTACTCCTCAAAATTTAGGCAGGAGTAAGTCATCTTGAAGTCCACTAGACAACTACCCTATTTCCTGTAACACCAATCTGTCACACACCTGACACCCCCAATTTTTCAATACCCTATTTCATACAAAAAAGCACTAATTCCTAAATTATATTGAAATACAAGAGGGAACCAATCACTCCCACTTGCAGGTTTTTAAGCAGATCAAGAGCAGAATATCCATCTATGTAACAATACCCTACATTTCAGTAGCTTAAGTCAGTTATAAGAAGGGCATCACACTAACCACACATCTTTCACCCATGTTTCCCTAGGAGTTTACTGCAAAATGATAGAGTGAGAAACGTGCCTGAAGTCGACGAACAAGAGCAGGAAAGAAGAGTTTTATTGTTGAAGGAATGGTCAAAGTACAGAAATCAACAACAAAGGGACGAATTGAGAAAACTGCAAGATGTTATTAGTTCTAGAGAACTGGCATTAAGAGAACTGAAAAAAGTTTCCCCTTGGCATTATGAAGAAGCTGTTAAGACTGATGAATCATTGTTTCCACTGCACTTGCAAGGACCAACGGAAACACCACCTATACTTGGCTACATTGCTCCTGACATTATTGATGAAAAATAACTAATCTTACTATATTCTATAGTTATTGTAGTTGTGTGACATAAACTAATAAATAATTATATACATTGGTACATGAACCAGGCATACCATACTTGCGGAGTTCCAAAACAAACTGGTGGTAAAATTATATGGGTGAACTTTCTGATGTGCACCCTTCCCCCTGCAGCTGCATCGATCCCCAAGGAAAAGGTGATATTTTAACATAAGTGAAATTTCAGTACTAATGTTTTGGTATTTTTGACATAATTTGCTGTGATGCATGGTGAAGAGTGCACCTTGTGAATAATCTGCACATCCTCAAACAGATAAGTATATATGGTTCAGCTGAGAGAGAATGTGCAGATTTTTCAGGAAGATGGGGGGGATTGACTTAATGGAGATAGAAAAAATGACTGACTGAAAAAATAACTGACTTAATGGAGATAGAAAAAATGAATTGTTATTTAGCTATGATGGTGTAAAGAAAAAACAGTCTTTCTATCTTGGTTTTCTGGGTGGTTTATAAGGTGATGTTGTGTGATCTTCATACTCGCCCCTTCCATGTCCTTCCCTAAAAAAAAAAAAACAATATCACAATCCAATATCAAATACAGTTTCTATATAAATTCTAGTAGAAACATTGTTACCCAGGGAGGGACATTTTGACGTAAACATGTGCCTGGTGTAGAATAAATTACTTCTGAATAAATTGCTCATGCAATAAAAAAAATATTTGCTGTGATGTATAAAAAGTTTCTGGGAATGTATGGTGTGCAATTCGTTATCATTGAATATAATTAGCAATTGTAAATGGACCTTAACAAAAATAAGCGTAAAAGGGCTTTTAGACCATTTGATAGGCTGTATAGATTGTCAACACCCATCCAAGCCATATAACTAAAATGTTGCTCTAAATGTCGTTCTTGTTTCATAACCTGCTTGTTCTGTACCTATGTTTGTACAGAACAATGTACTTATAAATGGTAGGACTTAATCTGGTCTATAGCAGTTCAATAAGAAACTATTTGCACCTGTACTAGGAGGTATAATATTAAAATATGAATTTTTTTAAAAATCATGAATCATTTTAATTTTATTCAAAATTGCACCTGAAACATCGTTTACAGTACAAATCATCATCACATCCGTGACAACGCAAACTGGCATCCTCATTGCAAATACAACACCACGGTAGCTCGTCTGGATCTGTTGGTGTTTCATGTTCCTAGAAACAACACAACCTGAAACTGTTTGGTCATTTAAAACAAAATAAACTAAGTCTATAGTCACTAAACACCACCCCAGTATTACCACAGGAGGAAAGTGGGTTCCCTGAGAAAAACTGTATGCGTTGTTCCGTGCAGCCAAATTGGAAGTACTCTTCTCGTATGCGTCACAAAAAGGAGTGAACCCTGGTGATATGGTGAACAGTATCTAATGGTTAAAGTATTTGTCCCTCGAGGCCAGAAATATAAAATCTAGGAACAAAGTAACATATACAATCTAGGCTGCGATGCAGACTTTAACCCATTAAGCTGCAATGCGCAAGAATGCGTCTTACTTTATTATTTTACTTTGTCTAACTCCAGATGATCTTACAATGGGATAGTAGTCCTGCGCATTAGTGAATCAAAACGTACAATCTTACCTTCGAAGCAATCTTTTGCTCAGCACGATCAAGGAGCTCTCCTGAAAGTAATTCAACCGAAAAATCAAAGACGGCTTAAATTACAATTATTATTCCAGAAATTTTCACACCTACCATGCCCTTGTTTCCGAATTCTGTCATCCAAAAATGATTCAGCAATTGCCTGTTAACGTAACAATAGGACAGTTAATGTATCTTTTGTCTCACTCAATTGCACTCAAAACATATATACCAGAATCGGCTATTTATATATTAACAGTAATATATAGTGATTTTCTTGGCGTTCTTGGCAATTACCGTTTTCGTACACCTTTTCGATAATTACGTCATGAGTACGTTCTGCGCCCAGGAGCCTCATTTTCATGAATTTCAAGCTAATTACAATACTTAATTGCTACGTTCTGTAACGTTCTGTACCAGCACTTCGCTTTTTCTATTTTTAATGTCTTGTCCTTTACCTGATGAATGTATCTTTTTCGAAATTCTGCCTCGTCATCACTATCATAGTCGTATGTTGGTGCACCTACGACATATAATGTTCAATTTATACTAGATAGTTTCATCAGTTCACCGTTCTCCCCATGCAGAGGTCCGTGGAGTAAAAGTGATCTCTTGTCGGTCCAGTGTTAATAGTACAAGAGGAAACCTAAACTAAGGTTCATTTAAATACTGAATAGCGCTATGTGCATGTTCTCTCTGGACATTAACAGTCGCCTCTTAATTTTTATACCCGCAAAATTTGTACCTTGCCAATTTTTGAACAAGTGTACTCATCATGGAAAAACGCCTGACCATAAATGTTGAAGATGAGAAAAAAAAACTTTCACATGAAAACTTGTTATAGAAACAAGTCGAACATCCTCAAAGTTCTGCCAGTACACCGGAAAGTACGTACAATTCAGACGTTTAGGTTTAACTAAAGTCACATGCACGAAAACGAGGGTTTATACCCAAGGGTGTATTGTTAAAATATTTATCCCCAGATCAAAACAGTATGGCAAAGACTGAATATCAAATGGAATTTCAATCTTCGTATTATGAGAGTGGGCTTTTGTTAGTGTCATATAAATGACTAACCAGACGGCTTTGCCTTTGGTTCTCGTCCTTTCAGTTTATCCAATCTTTGTTCAATATCTTCGGTGTTTATTCCTGAGTTTCCAGGTTCGTATCCAGATTTATCATCAATACTGCATTCATCTTGCATTTGTTTCAGTAAATCTGACATCTCCTCAGCTTCAGTCTTTTGGGGACCAAACGTGTGTATCTGTTAAAATAACTGTGTTACTTTTTACTACCAATAAAGGGCCTTCGCTCGAAGTGTCGAATGTTTTACCGGAGAATCCTAGGCTATATAAATTCACTTACATCACTTGTTTGTGCAGAACTTGGAGCCCTTCCAGTCAGGTTTTCAAACTTGGAATGAACATCAGTTTCACTTGTTGCATTATCTGCATAAAATACGAGTGAAATTCGAGCTTGACACACAAACAAACATATAAACCAACTGTAAATTACACCAGATGTTCATCATTATGTAAAACTAAGTATTTAATTATAACTTATCATATAACTCAGTAATTAGGTTTAGTATACCACGCTCTTTTAGCTTCTTCAATCGCCTCTTTATGTCCTCATCAGGGTCAAATGTATTTGCGTTATCTTTCACTGGTATGCCTGAGGATGGCTCTGGCTCTGTATTTTGCTAAACATAACAGAAATTATTAGTAACCCAAAATCATATAGTTACAGTATATGTTATAGAAATGAACTATAAAGAAAAGAATAACTACATCTAATATATTTCAATGGTTTATGCTTAGAACGATCACAATGTACAAGTCAAGTGTAGCAATGTACTAAAAAGTTAAGCTACTTTATAAATAATCAATCTTTCAGAACAATCAGTCATTTGATTAACAATTCAACAGTAAGTTAATCAAGTAGTCAACTTATTAGCAAATAATTAATTGAATAATAAATTAATTAACCAATCAATTGATCTGTTACGTGATTGCAAACAAACAAAGAATTACTGATCACTCAATAATTCAATCAATTAATCAGGCAGTCAATAAAACATGTACACTTGTTGTGGGTTGGAATAAATTTTACCTTTGAATTACCATCATGGCTGGGTTGCTGCTTTTGCCTATCAAACATTATTACAATAAAATGTTTACAACTATACATTGACTATATTGTGCAATATATGTTTATTGATTGTTTATAGAGCAGCTTTCAGTTTCTTGATCACTAAATGGATGGCAGTACTAATACTACAATAGGGCAATATGAAGCATACCAATTAGGGGTGGACAATTAGATATCCTGGGAGGGGAAATTTTTCCTGCAATAATTTTTTTTGAGTTCAAAGCTTTGTCTGAATTTTTTTTTCGGGGTACAAGCTGTGCAAGAATTTTTTTTTGACAGGCTTTACCAACATTTTTCTATGCCTACCGGAATATTAATTGTTCATTCAAATGTGTATTAATTAACAACAGTAATGGACATCAATGCCGGTGTGAAAGAAATGATGGAGAACCGCTGGAGACTCATGTGATGCAGAATTGTGGCTTTGAATTTAGTTAATGTTTCCTAAGTTAGTCTATCAATCAATCTGTCCACTGTCTATCAATCATTCAGATTTTGTTAGCATCTCACTCGATTCAATAGTTGAAGGGTGTTGTTGATGGAAATTATTGAGTGGAAATTTATATACATTTTCAGTAGACCTAACCAGGACGACAACAAATTATCTTAATATTTATCCATAACCTAAAACATGGTAGTACCCTATATTTATATATACATGAGCTTGTGGTTACTTAGAGCTAAACAACTGGCCTCTGTAGCTCAGCTAGTTGGTTGGAGCACTGCACCAGAATCGCAGGGCTGCAGGTTCAATTCCTGCCAAGAGCTTAAAGTTACATTTTTCGCAGCTGTTCCTGGTCATTCAGATTTTGTTGGCATCTCACTCGATTCAAGTCGAGTGGAAATTTATATATATTTTATTAGACCTGACCAGTATGCCAACAAAATCTTAATATTTACTCATAACCTAAAACATGGTAATACCCTATATTTATATACATGAGCTTGTGGTTAGAGCTAAACAACTGGCCTCTGTAGCTCAGTTGGTTGGAGCTCTGCACCAGAATTGCAGGGCTACAGGTTCAATTCCTGGCAAAGACCTAAAGTTACATTTTTCACAGCTGTTCCTGGTTAGATCTAATAAAATGTACAATTTCCACTCAATAATTTCCATCAACAACACCCTTCACTCAATCATTCAGCCAACCATTTATGACTTTCTTTTCTCTTATTCAGAATACGTGTATATAAAGGTGACGATGCAAGACATGGACAGAGGCCTTTGTTTGGAAATCATTTTGTTGCCAATATACCTGGGACAATTATGTTAACTTAGAGATGATATCATTGTCGTCACTGTTCTTGCTTAACCCAATCAGAGCCAGCGCTCTCCCCTCTGCGAGTAAAATAATCTGGCGTTAGACAAAGTTTCTCAATACAAATGGGGTTAACCCCTTAATTATTAAGTTGCATTGCACTCCAATGTGCCCTAGCTACTTTATTATTTTACTCTGTCTAAACACCAGATGATTTTACTCGTCAGGGACATGGGTCAATTTATTCAGAAATAATGACACTCCATATCATATTTAAAAATAGGTACACTAAGCATACATGCATGTCTGCTCATGGTACTGCATTTAGAGACTGATGTTTAAATGAATATATTTTTTCTATAAACATCACAAATATAATATTTTTTGTGTGTGTTTTGATGTTAAATGTAGTATATCCTCTGAGTGTATATCCTCGTAGCCTGCAAACAGGCTCTCAAGCTGAATTGAGAGCCTGCATCGATGACTAATGAATTTGAATATCTGCGTCTCAAATCGTGACGCGAAATTCTCATTGGTCATTTGCTATAATTTATATGTTTCCGCTGAGCTCTATATATGTCAACTGCTGAAGCACTGTGCATAAAAAACACATTAACTGATCAAATTGGTCTTGGCCATCTTATCTCAAAGCACGAAATCAGTTCTGTTTTGAGAAAACAGTATTTAAAACATTTGAACTTTTGCTTGAATATCTTATATTTCGAAAAACAGTATAAACTGTACGGTCTAAATTTAGTTTGCATGGTCTAAATTTAGTTTGCACGAAAGTTGTAAACAACACCATATAATGATAGACATTCCATATTTGGAAAAACGAACGTTACAGGGCAGATATTCAAATTCATTAGTCATCGATGCAGGCTCTCAATTCAGCTTGAGAGCC